GAATTCCAAGTCTCTTGAATTTCCCTCATTTATAGTTTTAATTCGCTGATTCCGCGTGGACGACAAGGGGGTAGATAGCTCCTCCCTTGTGTTCTAATTTCCTAAAGTTAGGCTTTCATTGGGTCTTATCGGGATGTGGGCAGACCCCCTGGCGTCTGATCGCTGCGTAAGCAATCTCTTCCGATTCTCTAGTGCCCGAGTTAGGCAAACTTCTGGCGCTGTGAGGACACAGCCTTGCTGGGCAAGCAGATTCCTAACCTACTTGCCATTACTGATGTTTACAAGTTGCGGCAATAACTGTGCAACACTGTTCGCTAGGCGCGAACATTTTTGGGCCGTGGCTTCTTCTACTATCTCGAATTTTGGGGCATAACAACCATGTTGTTCCAAATCAAATCTTTCATCACCTCTTTTAATCATGAAGTGGTAATATAAGATACCTGCAGAATTTCTTGTCCTAAATGTGAGGTTGAAACATTTCTCACTGCCTCGAAAAATCATTCAGTTACCTTTTTACATCAACTACATTGCCTTCCCCAGTTAGATAGCACCCATCTTATCAGTTTTGTCCATCATAACTTCACCTCAACTCACTGCCCAATACCAGACTTAAACAAAGGCTTCTGAAGTTCCATATAACACAAACCCTAAAGATGATGGCAATTACATTGTTTGCTGAAATATAAAACCTTCAACATTCTACGTGACCTATTTCTGAATGCCGTAGTGTACAAAATGACCACTGTTCTTGCTGTGCTTGCAACAGATTAATCATCTCCAATTTTAAGATTTTTTTGAGCAGAATTAGGTATAAGAATATAAGTTCCATGAATTATGCAATTGTTCTCGCTTGGAAGGTCTTGTGTAACTCAAATTTTATGTAAGTCAGAGCATTACTGTAATACGTAAATGTATGTACACTTATATGTGTGCTTGTGAATGTTTGTGATTTGCAGAAAGAAAGCTGAAAACACAAAAAAAAAAATAATTGAAACATGGTGAAAAAATAAATTATTGTAATCATAGAAAACTAACATTCCAAACAGCAAAATTTCATTTACGTTTCATTTTACTTCTTTGCGTGTCTTATGGCAAAATTTTAATAAGGTCAAATTTATGTAACTCGAGTCTTGCATAATCCAAGGAGGGTCTGTATTGAAAAATGTATCTGTTAGTTCAGTTATGGCAGGATGATAAAGGTAAAACCTTTGTTTTGATTTTTTAACCAGTTTTTAAAAGTATCTAACTAAACTAACTCAATGGAGCACAGTCCTTTTTGAGAAACTAATATTCGCTCTCGCAGTCAAAAAATTCTCCACCTATTATGGAACCCAAAGACATATTACAATGTTGCATTTTTAAAACTGTTACTGCTGATAGTATTAATTTACTTTCCTTTAAATACTGTGTGGAATTTGACTATTTTCTTCTAAAAATATGTATATATATATGTAACTCATATTGAGGTCATGTCTAAAAATTAAGATGTAGGAACTAATGCTCAGATGATAATAACTGATAATATAATGTCATCTGAACAAGGAGGTAATCCTCAGTACATGAGAAATTATAGTAATTATAATATAACAAAATTTCAAGAAATGCTAAGCTATGAACTATGGGGTTAATCTTTTTACAAATGACAATGTAAACAGTACTTTTAATGTATTTCTTAATACTTATTTAAGAATTTTTTACTCGTGTTTTACTAAAAAAATATATTACTTCCAAACTTAAATGTAACCTGTGAATGACTCAAGGGATACGAATTTCTTGCGAAAAAAAGAGGAAGTTGTATCTTAAATATAGACAAGATGATGATCCACATTTTAAACTGTATTATAAGAAATACTGTAAAGTACTTACTAAAGTCATTAAAGAGGCTAAGAAAGTACACTATGATAATAAAATTTCAAAATCTTATAACAAAATAAAAACTACATGGTCAATTATTAAAAAAGAGACTGGATTTAAACTCAGAAGGATGAACCCCAATCGCTGAAAGTCGATAATATTATGATACAGAATAAAAAGTGCATTGCAAATGTATTTAACGAATACTTTATCTCAGTAGCTCAGACACTTATACATGATTTAAGCAATAACAAAATTCCAACCAACATCAGCCCATTATACTATCTGGGCAATAAATACACGTCTACTTTTAAATCTATCAAATGGCAGTATGTCTCAACTAATGAGATTAGAAAGGTAATCAAATCTTTGAAGACCAAGTCTTCACATGGTTATGATGAAATTTCCACTAGAATTTTAAAAGCAAGTATGCCATATATAACTTTGCCACTAACTTACATTTGTAATCAATCCCTTGCCCAGGGAATGTTTCCAGACAGATTGAAATTTGCTGTAGTTAAGCCAATTTTCAAAAGCGGTAATAAATATAAACCAGCCAACCATAGGCCTATTTCATTACTGACAGCCTTTTCTAAGGTTTTTGAAAGGGTTATATATAATAAATTGTATGAACATATAGACAGTCTCATATATTGGACAATAATCAATATGGTTTTAGACCTAATTCATCTACAGAAAAAGCATCCTTCAAATTAGTAGAGGAAATACTAAAAGCAATGAATAATAAACAGTTTGTTGGAGGAATATTTTGCGACTTACACAAAGCCTTTGATTGTGTCAATCATGATATACTTATCCAAAAATTAGAGTTTTATGGAATAACTGGCAAGTTTGGTGCCTTAATTAAATCTTATCTGAATGGAAGATATCAAAGAGTAACCCTTGGCCCTAACAGTTCTATTAATAGCTCGTCTAGTTGGGCAGAAATAATATTTAGTGTACCCCAAGGTTCAATTTTTGGCCCACTTATTTTCCTCTTGTATATAAATGACATAACTAAGGTTTCAATTAATGGAACAAACATATTATTATATGCAAACGATACAAGTATAATAGTGACTAATCTGGAATACGCTGACTACAAATCAGCCATGACCAGAATATTTTGCAATATTAATACATGGTTCAGAACCAATCTGTTAAAATTAAATATTAATAAAACCCACACTCTCCAGTTCACTTTAATGAACTATGAGGATCACAGTATGCATAATAATACTGATCAAAATTTACTGACTAATTTTTAGGCCTAAATATTAATAACAGGCTGTGTTGGAAGAATTATATTGATTACCTTGTTACTAAATTGAGTTCGTCTTGCTTTATTATGAGAACAGTTAAGTCTACGATATCATTAAGTAGCTTAAGAATGATTTATTTTGCTTATATACATTCTTTGATGACATGGAATTATCTTCTGGGGCAATTCTTCATACATGACAAAACTTTTTATTATCCAAAAGAATGTTATAAGGATTATGATGGGATTAAAGAAAAGAGATTCATGTAGAGACTCTTCCAAGGAAATGAAAATTCTGCCTTTGTGTTCTCAATAAATATATTTCCTGATGCAACATACTATAAATAACATACATTTGTTTACAAGAAATACGGAGGTACATAATATTGGTACCAGACAGATTGTTAACCTATTTCCACCGAGTACTTCACTTACTAAAGTTCAGAAGGGTGCATATTATTCGGGTATAAAATCTACAATCATCTGCCTAAAGAGCTCAAACAATTATTCAATAACCAGAAATCCGTTGAACGTTCCCTAAAAAGATTTTTACATGCTGACTCTTTTTATGCATTAAATGAGTATTTTAATTACAAATGTACATAAATTTGAATGTTTTAACGCCGTATTTTAATATAGTTAGTATAGGAGATGTGAAAAGTTATATTAATTCAAGTTATATTGTAGTTACTTTTAAATTATGTCTGTTAATCAAAATATTATCTTTTTACCTCATATTATTGTATATGTTAATTAATTAATGTGGGTGATCTTCATTATGTGACTTATGTGACTTTGTGTATGTATATGACTATTTCCACATCCTGAGCCTGTTACCTGTATGGATATTTATGGAAAATAAAGGATATGTTTGTATGTATAAATTCATCTTGTGGTTTCGAGAAAAATATCAACATGGTAGTGATATGAGCCTTTGAGATATGAAACACTTCTTGAAATATAAATAAATGTTATAAAATACATTTTTATTTCATTAACTGTATTTTCTTTTTCAGCCTTCTTGAAGAATATTGAACTACTTGTTAATTCTTCAGTTTCTTTCAGAGTGATATTTGGAAGGAAATAAAATGTGGTGCTTCAAGAAAGGGTCACTGAGGTTTCACCATGCCTTCAATCCATGCATAGGAAAGACATGTCAGCTAGCTGATGATGTAGCAACAAGAGAAAATGACATCAGTAGGAACCATGATACTACTGGAGCTCGCCCTTTTAATGAAATTCCAGGGCCAAAATCTTTACCATTCATTGGAAGTCTGTGGCAATATCTACCAATATTTGGTTAGCAAGTTCAGATTTGAAATATGATATCCAAATATAATAATTTCAGAATTTTTAACTTCACAAATAAAGAATTTGGTATGACTCATATCTACCTTGGACCCAAAAATTGGGCTCATGACATGTCACTTTTGAAAGAACCTTACTGTAACACAGTATCACCCAAATAATAGAAGAGAAAGAGGCTTTATTTGACAAAGTTCACCATCTGAATTTTTGTGTCTTTCCATTCTTCAAATACTAGTTTTCTCTTTCCATTGCCGTTTACCTTATTCATTAAGGAACATAATTATCATTTTATTGTTTAGCCGTTTTTAAAAGAAGTTCACTCATTGAATAACATCTATGTTAGTTGATGTTTGTTTCATGTGCAGGAAAATATAGTTTCAAGCAGTTGCACCATGGTGGTCATAAAAAATTGCAAGAATTTGGTTCAATAGTTCGAGAAGACATAGTCCCTGGTGTTTCTGTTGTGTGGGTGTTCACTCCAAGTGATATTGAGCAAGTATTCCGAAACGAAGGACGTTACCCTGAACGCAGAAGTCACCTTGCTTTACAAAAATACAGAAATGATCACCCTAATATCTATAATTCTGGTGGACTGCTACCAACGTAAGGATTTTGCTGATGTAATTTGTTATGCATTATTTGAAGTGGTAAAAATATGGTAGAGCAGTCAGGTTTTTGGATTTTTAATGACTGATTTATTTGTTATAATAATATCAAAATATGATTTACTTAATGCCTATATTATGAAGCCTATTACAGACAAAGCTGTGGGTGAGGTATCTCTTAAAGCTATGGAAATGAACACTTACAGGTACATGATCTTGCATAGTTGTAATAAACTTTCAGTCACCAAACCCGTACTTCAACTTCAACTTTATTTTCATCCTTAACTAAAGCGAATGCAATTGGACGTGTCAGAAAATAACAGCGAATACATCACTTGTCAAAGTCACATAAAAATTACACAATGATCTATCACAATAATATAACAACTGTTTTAAAGTACTTAACAATAATAGACGCATAAGACCAAAAGAAAATATCAGTAATATAAAACACATAAACACAATATTAAAAATTCAAACCAAAAGACAATCTGATCTTAAATTCCAAAAAATCAATATGACTGAAATCACAACAAATGTGTCATATAGTTATACATTAGGTCTGTGTCAGATTTCATCATTTGATTTCAGTCTAATTATTTTTAAAGTAAAACATTTTATGCTTGTGTTTTTCATTGGGTAGGGTACTGTTTGTGTTATGCTATAATTCAATACTCTCTTCTAGCAGGGTAGCAAATAACTTCAAGCAGCTGGAAAGATTACAGAATAAGAAATTCAGATTTGAGTCACTGCTCTACCTGTACAAGGTCTTGTGGTATAAGCTTTAAATCAGCAAGGAAATAGGGACAACTGTTATCATAATCAATACATGTGCATTTTCTTTTATATATCTGTGAGACGAGAAGAACAAACACTAAACAAATGTTCATTACTTTCTATTTAGAAATCCTGAATGATATAGTTTGGAAGGTTTCATAGTCATTTCCTAATACCTCCTGACAGGTTGTGAGATGTTTACAGAGAAATATAAAAAAAGTTATCAATCTATACATCAGTTGTCTGGTGAGTAGTATATAGAATTGTATAGTATAGTATAGCATCAGGGTGGATGTTAGTGGTATTTCTGTTTTAGGAGTAAATATGGCTGATTCTGTGAAAAGCATGAAGTAGGCTGTGAAATGTTGCAATCCATATCAAAAGAAGAAAAATCGCACTGCAAAAGACATGTTCTGCAATAGGTGTGTGAATTATATTATGACGCTGAACATGGAATGAAAATTTGTGACAGCTGCAGAAAAAATCATATCAAAACAGGGAATTGCAGCCTTCATAGTTCTAAGTCAGATAAATCTGCTGTTATATGGGTGACAGGAAGTTGTATTGTTGATATGAGTGTGGGAGAAATAAACTACTGATCATCATGGGATACCAGAAGAACAATATCACCTCCTAATCAATCATTTAGAGTGATGAAAGTGTCACTGAGAGTTAAAGTTATGGTGTCTGTAGAAAGGTCCTCACAAACAAAGAGGGGTATAACCGCCATATTTGCCACATAGTACTGACAAAATCATTTAAAAGTATTATTAAAAGAATATTTTAACAAGAAGTTCTGGGAAGAACTAATCACCCATTTTCCTTTGATTTGGCACAGACCATATAGAGAGCAGTGCCTCTGACAGTACTTCATTCCCCTCGGAACGTCTTTACTGAGTTGTTACCTAGGAAAGACAGGAAGGATACACACAGATTGATGGGAGTAATTTATGAAGTATGCTGTTGAGATGTGGTCAGCTCTCATGATATCCATACTAAGTTTCATAAAGATTGGTTCAGCCATACAAAAGTTGATAGGGGAGATCACAGACACACAGACAACATGGTGATTTCATGAGCCTATTTTATTTTTTAAATGAGGAAAATAGGCAAAAAATAAGAAAGTGGAAGTAACATGAGGGTGAAGAAAATTACATAATGAGGGTTTTTGTAATTTGTACTGTGGGTACCCACCTACCGTCACCAAAATCTCAGATCTTATACCCAGCCAGAAGACTACATGGTGCCATAATCCAGAATATAACAATATTAAAAGCTTCAAAATAATCATTCCTTAATTTCAGACTAAAGACTCTTCTGAAATCTCTGTGAACAAGAGAACAGTGCATGTGTAACCGAACATTATATTTATATTCTGATTATGTACTCATTGCAACATTTTTGTGTATTAGGAATGGACCTGAGTGGTGGAGACTCCGCAGTGAATTTCAGCAAGGTTTAAGTCGACCACAAAGTGTGAGGTTATATTTACCTCAGACTGACAAGATTATTCAGGAGTTCATTGATCATCTCAAGATCTGGACAAAGTCTGCTGGGAAATATCATGATTTTTCTGACGAGCTGTCTAGGCTTCTCCTGGAATGTAAGTACAATATTGCACTTCCAGTGAGGGTCATATTTGATATTCTTGTCATAGGGAGGCAATTACTTGTACAAGAAAAACCAGCAGGTGGTATAGCTTGTAAAGGCATTTTTGTGACCTATGGATGATTTAAAAACTGTATTCTCCAACCCTGCCAATATTTGATGGATATAGTCACACTTTTTCTAATTATTAGACAGTTAAGATCACATGACTTTCTACATGATATATCTCTGTTAATAACATGGCAGCAGGTAAGTGGCTGAGAGTTTAGCAGGTTTATCAAATCTTCTGGATTTGTTGGCAACAAAGAGACTTAAAATTATGATTTTAAGAACTTGCATTTTAGATATGCTCCATTACTCTTTGGTGTTTGTTTTAAACCATCACAGATGGCTTTAAGTCTAGGATATCATGAATCACTTGACTTAGGCATGGAAATTGGAATATTAAAAACTTTTCATAAATCAGCTTTTATATGTTCACAATTACAAACATGGCATTGTTGTGCAATTTTGATTGGAAAGAAACAGATGGTAACAATTGAAAGAAAGTTTACATGGTAAGTAAACATAAGAAAGAATTGTCCCTGCATTTAGGAACTGTGTGCCATGAAGATGTATGCAGAGTGGAAATGTAGCTTTATACATTATTAAGCTTAGGTACAGGTGAATGACATGCTTCACATTCTGGTTGCTCTACATCTGTGCAGGGACAAGAACCTGGGTGGGCCTCAGTACCAGTGTGACATAATGGAAAAATGTCCCTACATCTGCCAAGAGTTCTGTCCAGCACACAGCCCATCTCTCTGTTGGGTGCCCATCACATCTCAGAGGTCTTGTAAATACTTCCTAGAGATACTGCTGAACCTTAATCATTTCTTATGTTCAGCCAGACTTTCAGATTTTAATATCCCAGAAAAAATAAAATAGTGGTCAATATCTTTTTGACCTCAACCCTTCAATTCAATATAAGGATTGTATGTGTCTGTATAATGGGTTTTGGTGGGAAGGTCAGAAGGAAAGAAAACACTAGGAAGGCTTAGATATATATATGAGAGGATAATACTAGAATTGATCTCTGAGAAATAGGATGTGGTGTTATAAACTGGATTTGTCTGGCTCAGGACAGGGACCAGTGGAGGGATTCTGCAAACATGGTACTGAAACCTCAGGTTCCATAAAATGTTAGGAAATTCTTTAGCAACTGAGTGACCAGTGGCTTCTCAAGAGGGTCAACTCAATGGAGTTATTTAGTATGTGTCTTGTTTTCCTGTATTCATTTTTTGTAATGATTCTTGTGTATTCCAGTGATTTGTCTGGTGACATTTGATGTTCGGTTGGGAAGCCTGAGTGATTTGGAACGTAAAAAAGGATCACTATCTTCCATGCTTCTTGAAGCAGCCTTGTCAACCAATAGCGCTATCCTATTAACAGACAATGGACCTCAGCTGTGGCGCTGGGTAGAAACAAGATTGTACAGGAAACTGAAGAAGTCTCAGAAATACATTGAACAGTGAGTGTTAATGATTAAATTGGTGATTCTTGCCTTCCTCCAAATCCTACCCAATCATTCTGTGTCTAGTCCATGTTCAGTGCAATAGAAATCTTAAAAGATAGGCCGCATGAGTCCTATAGTGATACACCTATCACAATTGTATTAATAGGATGAAAGTATTATCATGTGTTATTGACTAGACATGGGGTTTGTATTCGTAATTGAATTTATTGAAAACTTAGAATTCGTAACTACAAACAATTATAATATATACATACATACATCTGCGTTTCAAGATATTCATAAGTGCAATCTGCACTGAATATGAAACATGTCACAATATACTAAAGTACATGCTTAACAAATCATTGTATCATGCTAGGTCTTCTCAGTTTGCTACACCTTTCCTAGTTGTTGTCTGGCACTGTGGCTTAAGAGTATCTTCTTTTGCTCATGATGTTGTCAGCCTCCTACCATCTCTCTCTCATCTGTCAGCTTTTAACTACATTTATGGCCTCCTGGCCATAACTAGACATCACTGACTGCCATTAGCCATACCTGGGTATCTCTGTTGGAATCACTAAACAGTAGGCAGACATTATGTGTAAGCGAAATGTGCCTTTTAATGATAACCCTAAGGGTACATTACCTTCTTGTTTACTGAGGAGTATCTTGAAACAATATATTTTGTAATGTGTATATATTAACAGTCTTCAAGTGCATACAATCCCATCTACCACTTCTGCACTACATGTTTCGGCACCATGATGCCATCTTCAGGTGTATCGATCCATTAACCATTTCACTGCTTGCCTTTATATGTCCATTTACAAGTAATATTAAATTTGTATACGTCCTTATATAATAATAAAGTTTATGTATTTAAAACTTGTTAAAACTTATTACCTCATATGTCATATTTTAAAATTCGTGTGTATTATTAATCATTCACATTGGAGTCATTCTTCTTATGTTTCTAATGTTGTGTGTATATTATGTCTTATGATGTGTTCTGCCCCTGTGGCTGAATGCGTTATATTGTTGGATGTGTAGGTGGGATTGTATGCACTTGAAGACTGTTAATATATACACATTATGAATATGAATCAGTGCAACAGGACGCTAAAATACAGCAAAATATTTTGTTAAACACTATGTATTTGGTGGAAGATTTCTGGCAGCTACGTACAGGTATAGTAGACTGGGGTAATTATGAGGATGTGAACTGGAACTGTACATCCCATTGCTCCCTTAACTTGAAAATGTGTGTGGTCTATGCCTCCCACAGGCCACAGGTCCAGGTGGACTGACTTATGACTCTTTTGTCTTTCAGGATTGCAATAGATTTTATTTCCAAAAGAAAGGAATCCTTAAAACAATCTACAACCACCAAAAATGAGGTAAAATCATTATTAGAATTGTATTTGTCGTCTACGGAACTTGATATGAAGGATGTAACTGGAATGGCAGTGGACATGCTGTTAGCAGGGGTAGATACGGTAAGATTATGTCCTGCAGCAAAAGTTTATCCTGAATATTCCCATAAGAGGAGTCAAATAAACTGGGTAAATTGTCACATGTTTGTGACTAGACACATGGTTTGGATTGCTAATTAGGTTTACTGGACATGTATAACTTATAACTGCATGTAACTATAACCATTTCAGAGATCTGCACACACACACACACACACACACACACACACAAATCACTATATTGTCTTCAACAGCTGTTGCCTGGTAATGGCTCCCAACAATGCAGATTCTTCAGCTTCTGTACCCATGTCATTAGTGGTTGGCTCCTATCTCACAACTCCTCATGGCTGCACTTAAGCTACCTCGTTCACCCTTGCTATATAGCCTCAGGATGGACAACACAGTAAACACTAGCGCAAACAGCTCCTCTATTTTGTGACATGTGAGTGCGCCATTGCCTAGTGATGGTTTGCTTGTTTATTGAGCCATTCTCATGCAATGGACAATGTTCAAATAGTCATGTCACACTATAGTATAACATAATGTATAATATCTATAGCTTCTACTGAAGTATCCAGAAGTTGTATGTCACTGCATTTGATTTCCATAAATCAATTTGCCATCCATGCTGGGTTGACCAAACTATGAAAAAGTTTCTCTTATCACGCCCTTTTTTATGGTGAAAAGATACAGTGGCACACACCTGTTTTCATAAAACATAAGCATATATAAAATAATTATGCTCATAAACATGGTTAAATAATTGAGATAGATATGAGAATGAAGTTTTCACTTCAACTTCAGTTCATGAGTTCCATTAATTTCAGATACACTGGTAACATTTTTTGTCGGAAATACTAAGAAGTATTTTTATTTCCCTTTGCCCTTCTCTTATTGAATGATGACACATTTGTTTCTAGAAAGAGAAGCACTGTGAACAGGGCTACGGGTTTTATTTTCTCAGACAAGGTGAATCCTCAGATTTTACTCCATTATTTCGTAAAGTAATTTCATGCACACAGAGGAACATTGCTGCCATATACCCTGTACTCTGTTGAAGCATCTAGAAGGGAGAGATCTCTCCAGCCAATGCCACTACAATGTTCAGGCTCTGAGGGAGTTAAATCCTGAAACACTCCTCTTGTTCTGAGGACATCAATAATGTTTTCAGAACTGCTTATAATTATTACGGTTGGTCTCTTTTATTTCAGGGTCTACATATCAGTAGACATTTGTTTTGTTGTTGTCTCTTATTGATGCTGCATGCATTTGGTGCAGTGTTAATAAAACAGAAAACACATATCTGCACTAACGTCATCCAAGAACTCGTGTAGGACTTAATTTTCAAGCATGTGTGATCGGAAAAGGGCCTGTATCTCCATTACTCCATGCCTTCATGGTATAGCACAAGGAAAACTATACCTTTATGTTACTGCAAATCAAGAGACAATATGGTTTATTACTTTATCTTAATATTTATTTTTTTAAAAAGAAAAGAGATCCCATTAACTTCAGAACTGAATAATCTGAAACATTTCTTTAATTACTGAGTGCTATTTGAATACATAAATATTGCAGATCAGTACATATAATTAAGTGCTACCTGTTTATATCCACAGACAAATTACACAACAAGTTTTGCTCTCTATCATCTGGCAACTAATCCAGAAGTCCAGAACAACCTGTATGAAGAATCCTGCCGACTTCTGATTGAACCCAACTCTCCTGTCACCACTGATATACTTTCCCAGGCTCAATATATGAAAGCAGTCCTAAAGGAGAGTTTGCGATTGAACCCCATATCTGTTGGTATTGGTAGAATACTGGCCCAAGATGCAGTACTTTCAGGCTACCATGTACCAAGAGGAGTGAGTATGCAACTGGATTATCAAGGTTTTGATGTTGGATGGGCCATCATATGTAGTTACTCAGCCAAGTATCTAACGGGTACCAGGATAGTGTGTCTTGAGGATAAATGGGGAATGAGAAGATGAACACTTATATCCAGCTAGTGTGTAACTTAAAAAGCAAGCCAGAAGTTTCACAGTCTTTCTTTTTCATGTCTATGGAATGTGTTTAGACAAAGGAGCATATTCACCTTGCCTTTTTAGCCTACTTTTCTTCCTTAAAGAAATAATTAGACTAGTGAAATTGCCATGCTCTGTGTGTGTGTGTGTTCACTTTAACTCCAACTGTTAAACACTTGGCATGAATGTAATGTCATTAGAAGCCACTCAATTATTTTACATATTAATTTCCTACTTGTATAATCAGTAGTAATAATGTATCAGATACATGAAGTTGTGAGGCTAGAGTGACACTAGGAACCGTTACTTTGGGGCCCTGGAATTGTGTTTGTGTTTACAGCTTGGAAAAGTACGGAGCTTTTATATTTCCTTTTTTATGAAGAATGTAAAACAGAAACATGATGGCCATTACAAATTTTTCTTTAGCTTTCAGTTAAATGGTGGTAGTTAATAAAACATCGGAGATAAGCATGTGAAATTTGGTACAGAGGTATTGTGTGAGTTATTGTAAGTCGGCAGTTACAAACATGGTGATGTGAAACTTTGAGATCACAACTGACAAATTTGACACATACAGAATCTGTACTGAAGTAAAAAGTTCTAAACAAAGAAAATAAAAGTAGGAAAATAATAGAGTTGTAGATCTTTTGGAATAGAATTCTGTGCAACAGGGAAGTAACCTTTGCGAGTTCTGCTTAGAACTCATTTCTTGTGTTTTAATTCTCTGTCATATATGACAAAATTAATGAAAATTTAGTTCTTGGTGTATTGAGAACATTAAAAATAATGATAGAGCAAATTTTTATACCTACATCCTTAACATTTTACACACACAGTGGCATATTTTTGGTTCTCGGGCCGTGTACAGTGTAGTAAAAATAGTTTTTAAAATTGTGAAAACATTTTCTTCAATCATTACTGTAAATATATTAGTACATTTATTGAAAATGCGAACAACTTAAAAAAAGTAACTGTCTATTAAATGGAGTATTAAGTACACAAGAAATGTTGTCTTGAGTGAGACGCTTTCATTCATTATAATTTCATCCCATTCCTTGAAGTCTTAACTGTGCTGAACATCTGAGAACAAAGAAGAAACTTTAGCATTTATTTGAATGGATTTTACACCACTTCCACAAACCTATGGTCACACCATCATAATTCAGAATTTAAAAGCTTGTATAATAACAATACAACATCAATTTTTATTTGCTCTAGGTATTCTAGGCATAAAACTATAATATATGACTTAAAATAATTATCAGCTTGAGAAAAGTGTATACATTACATTACTTAAGGCTTACTTCTGTTCATAAAAGCCAACTGCAATGTAAGCTGGAGAACAGCTTTCCTTGCATGTCTTTTCATTTTTACAAAAAGTGCACCAGCACGATAGGCACATTCTTAGCACTACCATAAACACTAGCCCATATCTACTATTATAATACAGCATTAATTTAAATTTTTTGGGGGGGGTTCCATTATGCCCCACCAGAATAATTTAAAAATAAGTTTTCACAAAAGTGGGTTCTGTAATTTTGAAACATGCCTCTGAAAATAGCAGATCACACTTAAGCTGCCAGCAGTCATGCCAAAATCGGTAACAATGTGATGGGGGTTATTCTATTAAAAATAACATCTGCAGTAATCAAATTCTAATACTGCCTAGCCTTAAGGCATCTGCATTAAGCGAAATGACAGATGGTAAAATTTATAAGTTCACAGAGCTGTCTAAGGGCTTGCCAGAAGTCGAGGTCCTAAGCAGCCACTTCAGTCTGCTTACTGATAAATTCAGTTCCATCCACATGAAAAGAATCTATGTGAGTGGAGGACATTGTTCATTATGTACAGAATAAACTGGATTATTATATGGTTTTTTATTCCCACAAATTTCTCTTTATTCGAATGATTATATTTCATGCATGGTTTCTTCTGCCATTTCTTAAATCTCTGCCATGAAGCTGGCGGGTCAATGTGATTTTTTTATGAAGTATCTATTCCTTGTTACAGACCGTTGTTGTAACACAGAACCAAGTGAGTTGTCGCCTAGCAGAATATTTTAATGACCCTAACAAGTTTCAGCCTGAACGATGGATCAAAACTCATCCATTATATAAGCAGGTGAGCCCATATTTGGTGCTCCCATTTGGCCATGGTCCTCGAACATGTATAGCAAGATGGTTGGCTGAGCAAAATATGCATGCAATCATCTTAAAGGTCAGTATGTTATTGTCTCAATGGTATAGGCCCATGTTTTATGAACTTTTATATCTTCAGAAATATTCTGTTCTAAAAATTCTTGACAACCCTACATAGGAACAAAGTGCCATGAATATGAAAGGAAATAGGACCTTTGCACTGTATATAGTAAGAAAGACAAAGAAAATCAAAATGAAAGACTTTTTACATTTCTCACACAAAATAAATAAAATCCATCTGTCTGCTAATTTCATATGAAAACAATATAAATGTTTTTGAAATCTGGATTGCAATTCTACACTAAAAGTTAAATATTTAATTTGTACAGCGAACTACTGATTAACTGCAGTAACAGATGCGAGAGATATCACAGGTTAGTAAAAACAGTGAATAATCCAAAATTCTGTAAGTAGGCCTGTGCAAAAACCAATAAGATAATAAGTCATAAACTTGCAATATGGTGAGAAGACTGCAAATTGTTGTTAAACATCACTGATACATGTTACTAAAACTGATGTATTTTAATGGATAATACACAAATCATTTTGGGAAGCTATAATCAATAACTGATGGGTTCCATGATTAAGTCCCATGATTATTCTGCCCATGGATAATCATGAGTCTGCTCTGTATCAGTCTATTACAAGAATGTGTTGAATGGTACACCCACTCCCCCCATATATCTTCATTGTATGGCAACTTTACTTTACTTTAATTGGTCTAATATAACTGTTACTTTCTGCCAATGTTAGAAGCATCTCTCATATTAAATTTCAGGGATACTCAACTTCTGCTGTGTCATATGACCATGTTTAGTTGTTCCATCACCATTAAATCTTTTGCCTTTCAAGGTTTCTCTGAGTTTATGGAATACAACGAAGTCACAGGAACCAGGTTGCATGAGCTTACTCACTTGTGTTTTGACCTATTAATTTCTTCACAAATGGGACTGAGGGGACAGGTGCACTATCACAGTGATTTACAACTCTCCAGTTCCCCATTTTATCACAATAATTTTGCCCTGTTTATAATTATTTTCTCAAGCTGAAGATAGTATGTTCTGACCAACTCATATTAAAGAAGATTAATTTAAGTGTTAGGTATTATACAAAAGTGGGTTCTCTTCTTTTCAGATTATCCGACATTATGAGGTAGGGTGGGCTGGAGGTGTTCTGGACTGCAAATCTTTGCTCATCAATAAACCTGATGGACCTTTATGTTTCACTTTCAAAGAACGTTCGAAAGTGCATTGAAGAAACTGACAAGACTACACAAAGAACTGGAAGTTCTATCATTTAGATTATTTTAATTTTGACATTTCTCATTAAATGTGATGTACTTATTATTTTAAATTTGAATATAAAGTTTACTGTGTCTGTTCAGTTGCATATAAACTAGTATTTTTTACATTACCCTATTTTTTGTCCAATTTTTCTTAAAATACAATACAGTATACTTCCAATTGTCTGCGCTAATGAAGGGGAAAGCATGCATGAATAATCACAAAACATGGACAATCCAAGTACTGGATGTGATCAGAAGACCATGGTGATTGTTACATATAGAAATAATTTTGAGAAGCTTGCATGGTGTCCAATTTGTTCAATTATCTTACAAAAAGAATGTACTGAAGGTAAAATGTGGGTTTTGGTTTTCTCTACGCTGGTTTATTTATTTTTTTCTCTCTCTCTCTCTCATAAATATTTAGCTTAAGATACATTCAAAGAAGTGTGTTGGTCTTCAAGTAGAGCGGTCAAAGTTGTTCAATCTAAATGCAGACTGAAGTACCCTGACAATTATTCGTAAACTCCAATCCAGCAGTGATTCAGTTGTTTTGTGCATAGAGACAAACAAGCACAGCAAAGGTAATAGGTACTTGCAAGTTTGCAAATGTGACTTAAGAGCAAATGGCTAAACTGCAAATCTGTACACCAAAAGAATGAAACTGAATATTTCTTATATATCTTTAATAAAATCTTATTTAATACTTTGAACTGTGTGCTTATCAGATTAATCGTCCACATGCATCTTTAATAAACCCCACAAAGCTGAAAACAACAATAACAAGACTCTATAATCTCTTAACTGGCATTAGGAAGTTAATTCAGTGCAAGAAACAGACCTTACATTATTTTTACTTATTAAATTCATGTTCTAGAAACATGCTGCAAATACATTAAATAAATAGTCATAGATGACCGACAAGGAGTGATCCTCTGTCTTTGGGGGTGGAAATGGGAGCTAATAAATTGTCACTGTACTAAATCATAATAAATTTTGCCAAAGAAAGAACTCTGTGAAGAAAATAACATTCACAAACTGCAACATTTATTTTAGGACATATTACAAATTGAACTTCTGATAAAGGGACACAGTCAGATTGAGCATATGGCAGTGGCAGTGATGAAAGATGATTAACATCCAGTATTTTAGAGAAGCTAGGTGATACAGACCATTATTTTGTGGTTGGGAAAGTTAGGGAAAGACTGTCAGTAAACAAACTTGGAATGCAGGAATATCCATTTTAAAATCCAAATTTTACAAAGCTGCAAACCTGGCCGAGATTTTCACCTGATACTACTCTTTAACTTCCACAATATTCAGATAATAACAGAAGTTTAGCCAAAGTCTAAGTTATTATAAACTAAAGCAGTATAAATCATGGTTTGATAATGTGTGTGCAAAATTATAAGATCAAAAGGAGGAAGAAAAATTAAAATGGTTGCAAAATACAAGTCAGATGAATGGAGATAATATGAACAACATAAGATCTGAATCCAGTAAAACTTTCAGGAAATGAAAATACCCCAAAGACAAAACTGATAGCTCGAAACAAAGAAATATAACAAAAATCTAAGCAGGTTGGTGTAGTGGTAATGCTGTGGGCTTGTACGCAGCAGATGCCTGGCTCAAATCTTGTCTGACCCAAGATTTCTTCTGTTTCCCGCAGTCCCTCTAGGTAAATGCCAGAAGAGTACCATGATTATGCCATGAACACTTCCTTCCAAATACTTTCCAATTCATTATTCAACAATCATTCTCTTAGCAAAATTACAGATCATGATATTGTGTTCAAGCATCCTGTTGCATTAATTAATATATTTGTATGCATATATTTCCATCTCAAATGCAACACATTGTCTGTCCTACTTCTCTGTCAGTGCACCTTTCAACTGTATATGACCATCATCAGGTGCAGGTCTGTCTTGGCAGAATTGTGCAGCTGTATGTCAAAATTACATATTGCTTGCGAACGCAATATCGATTATTAATTAAAATACATTTGGAATTAAGATTAGAATTGAAAATTAGAATTAAACTTCTTAAAAGTTATTCTTAATTAAAATTATTTATAATTAAGATTAAAGTTAAATTATAGTTTATCACGTTTGCCATTATAATACTGTTCATTATTTGTTCTCTTGCACTAAGAGAAGTTCTGCTGTAATAATAAATTAATCTAGAATGTATACTAGAAATATATTTACTGAATGTACATACATTAGAATTTTTTTTATGTAAAAAATATCAAATTTACAAACATAACTAAATTTCATAAAATATATTACTTCTATATATGCTATCACATGCTAAGTTTCATACAAAATGTTGTACACTTTTCCAGTACAATAATTGGGATTTGTATCTCTGACATAACTCACAAGAAAGATAAGTTTCAGTTAGATAAGGTAAATGTGACTCATTTGAACAATTATGCATAGCGGACTCTATTCAGAACGTTGATTCTTCTTGGCCACCAAATGATGCCATCAGTTTTGTCAATGCTGAAAATGAAAGTATAAGAAGTTAATATATACATTATATAGCAGTTTTCTCTTGAGCATTGCAGCAATTATGGGGATTACATGAGCACTATAATTTAGCTCTTGTTTTGACTGAATGTAAAATTGGGTCTCTTACCATGAGTGAGTAATGTAGACTAAGGCAGACTGAGAAACAGTTCTAAGGAGAATATCTGGACCTTCAGGTGAAAAGTCATCTAGGTTATGGTATTGTGTAGTCTGGTAGTGGGTACAAATGTTTTGGAGGGACATACACTTCTATCCTAAAGATGGAGGTAGTACTCGTATGTTTCACCAAAATATTTGTACCAACCTACCATAACCCAGAAGCCCACAATATGAATCTTCACATCTGTGGGGACCTAAGACCATATATAAGTAAGAGGAAGCTTGAGAAACTTAATAATTAGTATGTTCAAAATTTGTACTATTCACCAAATATTACTAGGGTAATCAAGTCAAGGAAGACAAGATGGACAGGACATATAGACAGAATGACAGAAAGAAGAATTGCATACAAAATTTTGGTGAGAAATTCTAAAGGAAAATACTATTTTGAAGACACCTAGGGATAGATTGGAGGATAATGTTAGAATTGGTCATAGAAAAATGAAATTGTTGATACTGACTGGATTAGTCTGGTTCAGAATAGAGTCCATTGATGAGTTATTGCTAACATCATAATAAACACGTTCCATGGGTTCTCAGGAAGGACTCTGCTCCATGGAGTCAGTTAGTTATTACTTACTTACTTACTTAAGGAGCTGAGCCCTTCTCGAGAAGCCATCAAATCTGCAGCTACTCAAGAATTTCCCAGCATTTTATGGAACCCAAAGGTTCATTACCGTGCTCACAAGAGCCCTCCACTGGTCCCTATCCTGAATCAGACCAATCCAATCCATACCATCCCATCCTATCTCTCTAAAGTCCATTTCAATATTGTCCACCCACCTACGGTTTGGACTTCCCAGTAGTCTCTTTCCTTCTGGCTTTCCAACCAATATTCTATATGCATTCCTGTACTCCCCCATTCGTGCTACATGACCTGCCCACATCCTCGACTTGATCATTCTAATTATACTTGGAGAAGAGTACAAATTATGAAGCTCCTCATTATGCAGTTTTCTCCAACCTCCTGTCACTTCATCTCTCTTCGGTCCAAATATTCTCCTCAACAGCCTGTTCTCAAACACCCTCAGTCTATGTTTGTTATGGTATATGAAAATGTTTCAGTGTACCATACTGCATGTGATCAGCAGCTGAATGCATTATGTGATAATGAACTCTTCTTACTGTTCTCATTTCAGATTGGAGTTACTTTATGTGTGGGAGTAGAACTGTAATGGACAATAGTAACTACCAACAAAACCATGAGTTCATTGTCTGAATTTGAAATATACGTATATAAGTGTTCAATTAAAAAGTCACTCAGGAAGTGTACTTTCTTATTGAATAGGCCTACACATTTACTAAATTATGTTAAAATAGTATTCTTTTATGTTGAAGACAACTTTGCACCTTGAACCTTACTGATAACTAAGTTGAAATAGGTAACTGCAAGGAGTTCTGATAAATACTACAAAGCTTACATCCCTGTGACACATATTTCTAGTCTTATCAATCTAGTGTTGTTAATATTATATTTAGGTAGTGCCAGTTTCAAGGGACAAAATTAAATTTTTGGTTTATTAGAATGCTGGACTCATGAAAAGAAGGGTGGTGGTGGTGATGATGATGATGATGACGATGAAACAAAGTAAATTTTCCTTCAGTTCACTTCCACTGTTCAAATTAACTGCATAAGAAAGAGCCTAAAGAATTGTGTGAGAAGTAAGACAGGGTTAATATCTTTATGTGTTCTGTACAAAATATTAGGAAACAGACATAACAGACATAACAGACTTTTAATGTACGAAATATTTTAAACAGAAAGGTGCAAGAACCCTTCTTCCAAAGCACTACCCTAGCATATATATGTACTGGTATCCTTAGTTTTATTACAGTGCTGTAAATACTAGTTTGAACACCACCTCGTATTTATATCTGCATAGAAACTGGCGGTCAAGGTATTATTATTTCCTTAACTGTGTTAACTGCTATAATATATGGATTTCAAGAAACTTTTCTAATTAACTGTTTTTCTTTTGTGAAATGACAGCTGACAGTAGAGAGGTTACTGTTGGCAGATCACCCTATCAGCAGAATTTGTAGTACCTGAAAGCAGTGCATGTAGCACTCTATCAGTGCACAATCTCACAGAATCAAGAGAAATTGAGCGTAGCAAATATTCGTATTATTGGTATAATTATGTACACAAAATATTAACTAACAATTATATAAATTTATATTTACCTCCATAGACCTCCATATACAAGGCTGGGGGCTGTCAATGGAGGTGGTGGAGAAGCTGGAAGTCTGTATACTGATATTGTGCGGGAGGGTGGTGGTGGTGGTGGTGGTGGTGGTGGTGGTGGTGGTGGTGGTGGNACCGATTCTCTTGCTAGGGAGACCGAAAGTGATTCTTGGTGGAGGCGGGGGCGGTATTGCCACTGCTGTGGCCACTGTGGCCAGCAGAAGTAGTATCCTCTGCAAACAAATAATGTTGAGCAGTTTCGTGACAGGATTCTGGTCTGTAATAACTTCTTCACTTTAGCCCTTTCAGTCATTCAATAGGACCGATTTCGATAATCCCACGAACTTGAAAAATTGTAAAGAACAGATACGTATCATCCTTAATAACATGTCACTTATTCAAATAAACTGAGCCCCTGTTTCAGATAAAATTGCAATTAGTGCTGGGGCTCAATTCATGGGTCCCAAATTCAAATAAAATCAACTGGACTTACTGGGGTGCCGTGCGTGAAGG